CCCCACCCCACCATGTACACAAAACAAGTGATTACTGGACAGCCTAATATAAGACGAGCAAACTGAGAGACAACAGAAAATGTTACAACCTGAAACAAAAATACCACAGAGTACATTTCAACACTGTTTTAACATGCCCTCAGTGCCCTGGCCTCACACCTTTCACTTGGGGAATCCACAGTGCTATCCTGACCACCATTTCATTACGAAGTTTGTTAGATAACCCCATGGAGGGGTGAGGGATCAAGTCAATATAAATGTAGACTTTTGCAGCAGTACTTGCCCAGAAATCAGTGTGATCTGACACAATTTTCTAACAATAAATACTTGAAAACATTCAATTTGCAACACCCAAACTGGACTGTATGTAGCAAACCACTTCATCTGTTACATGGCTGCTTCATTCATTTGCTCTGCTAGCGAGCAAAGGGCCGCACGGCTAGCAACAAAGAAAGAAAGACAATGTACCATGGTCCTTATTCTAAACTTAACTGTGTTCAGTTTAAGCTAAAGATGGCAATTATTTAAAGTGTATTTATGTAGAGCTCAGTCTTTTCAAAAAGCATATCGCTGCAGTCAAACAAAACCTTGTATCTCCATTTTATACATTTTGTGATGAATGGACCAAAGGAAATGGCCCAAAATTACCTGGAAAAGACATCTGGTTCCATTAATTTACATTAAAAGTAAAGTATGTTTTTACCTTCTCCTGTAAAGTTACCACTTTGGAGATAGGAGGTTTGGTTCCAACAGCAGTGATATTACAAAGTTTGCTTAGCTATCTAATTAGCTCACTGAGGCTACCCTAGCCAAGGGCAAGTGAGCTCGTTTTGGAAAATCTGCACCTCACTGTCTCCTTGTCCAATTCGTGAGGTGAAGTCGGCCAAGGGCATGTTAAAACAAATGCTGAAACACAAGGCTAGTGACAATTTTAAAATACACCTTCTAGACTCTGGAAATGCTCTGATTCTGAGGTTTGACTGAGGGAGATGGACAAATTGAAATCGCTGTCTAAATCTTGACCTCGGGACAGGATCCTCCATATCCTGTCTAAACTCCAATAATAATAGTACAGCCTCTAAACAAGCCCAGAGCCAAGCACACAGACCACCAGAGAAAGCAATAAAGCGACTGGCCATTATTGTCTCAGTCTTGGCACCATATGGATGTGGACAGAGCCCACGCAGGCCAGGGCAGTGGACTGGAGCTCCTGTAAGCTTCTTACAGCCTGCCTGTCAAGTGGAGCAGCCCTGATGTCTCAATGCACGCCAGATAAGACTGAGCAAACATCGATTCATTCCAAAACTCAGGAGGAAGGTGTCTACCTCTGAAATGCTAACACTCACGTGTGACTGCGCGAGCGTCCTTGACTTTGAGAAGTGTTTCAAACAGAACCCGTGTGGAGGCCTGTTCTGCAGCCCAAAGTCTTTACTGTTTGAGCTTTCTTCTCTTCAGGCCAACCAAGCTCAGAAGATGAGGTGTGAAAGAAGCAGGTGGAGCTGTGATTAGATCCACAGCAGTCTGCCAAGAGTTGGCTACGTGGAAACACTCAGAAATCGTGAAGCTTTGCAAGAAATGCCTTTTCTTAGAGCGAGTGTCGCTGGGGACGGCGCTGTCCTGATAGTTCTGCTTTACTATTCTCTCTGTTCTGCTTCCAGGACCACACCAGGACAGCAGTCAGATACAAACAAAAAACAAACAACAAAAGAGGCATCTTTTTTTCAGACAGGCTGGAGAAAAAAAGAGCTTTACAAAATCCAAGAGCACCAAAACACATCAAAAAAGCAGAAAAAGCGACAAACACAGATACTTTTCACCATTCCCCACCGATCTGCACCAAGGTAAGGATTCTTTTTGTTTTTTTGTTTTTAATAACAAGTGTATAAAACATTAGCACCATTTGTCAGCTCAAACGAAAGACGAAAGAGAGAGAACCACCAGCCTTCACCATGGCAAACGACCTAAGAGGAAAATCCCACCCCAAGAACACTCCCCAGAAATCCTCACACTTTATAAATTAAAGTACAGGAAAAAAAAAAAGAATGAAAACAAAACCTATTTAACACATCATTTGTTCCATATTTGGACCATTCATGAGTACACGCTGCAGTACACCGGTGGTCTGTTTTCATGATTTCATCCAGTAATGAAGACAGTTCATTTACAACTCGAAATGGCCAGCATACAAGAGAATGAGACTCGACTGAAATGAGAAACAGCTGTAGTAATATGTGGATTGCTCAGAAATGACTCAACATGACAAGCTCACAAACCTACACATGACAGGATGCAGTTAAGCAAAACTTGTGCTTAAAATAAAGCATGTTTCTTCATCATGTATTGAGATTTTCCATAAAAGACATCAAAACGGTCATTATTTCCAGAGATCACTTTTCCTGGAGCCAATGGACAACACTTGTTACAGGCAAGATTACAGTCCTAAACACATAAGATGAAGACTTATGTAGTATCTTAATGAAGACTTTGAGAACCAAATAAAATGAGATTTGGTCAAGCTGGTTTTGGCATTTACCCGTGTGAAAGTAGACAGATATAACAAGCAGCTACAAGACCTCATTTTTGTTTTTGTTATTTTTTTTTTCTTCAAACTACTTTGTTGTCTACCAAGTTGTTCTTTTCCATACCACAAAGGAGGCAAAGTTTTAGTAAAAATCAGTTACGCAGTTCAATATCAAAACTTTCTTCTTGATTGATATATATATATATTTCTTCACTGAGGAGTTGAAAGGGAGGAAACTGCAAGTACTGATACAAAGAGAGCCCTTTAGAACTGCAAGAGACAGCTATGGAACTTGTACAGCAATCCAAATATAATGGACACGTCCATATCTTCAATGAGGGCTCCGCTTAGAAATAAAAATAAACAATTTGTAATAAATTGTTAATTTAAGACACTACAAAAGAAAAATGGTGACTATCGACGAGACATTTTCGGATTACTGTTCGGTCTGAAAATTCTTATCTGGTGCGTGTCAATCACATTTGTACAAATTGTGATGTTTCCGTTTTGCCTTCCACACAGCTTGCCATACAGAAGAAAACATGAAGCCTGAAGGGTGTTCTTAAGCCTTTGGCACTAAAAGTAGCAAAAAACATAAGAGGTGCAACTGTACATATGGATGGCCATGTGGGATACATTCGTTCGGTAGAGGAATGGGCTACTAAAGCTTCTGTCTAGGCCTACATTTTTTTAACATCTCTTTTGTTATCAAGTGATAAAGCCTATGTATTGCATATATGGTTCTAAGACTGGGTGGAACCAAAAAAAAAAAACCCAAGGACGGATGCAGGGATGCTGTCTTGATTTCTGTGCTGTGTTATGTCTGTTTTCCAGAGACACAGAATTTAAGGAAATGTATAGAAATGTTTAAAGCAGCAGCCAACTTATTTCCAGAACAGGCTACTGCTTCTTAAAGGAACATTTTGGTGAAAAATCAAATACATGATTTCCGACTTACTCCAAATGCAATCGATCAACCAACACATGTCTGGTGTTCAAATTTTGCTTCTTTGGTTTAGAACTGGAGCTGCTAGGCTAATGGTGCTAAAAAAACACTGGACGTCATTTGTCACTAAAACTGCATCCAAAAATACATGCCAAAGTCTTCATATATTCACTTCAAATTACGCTGATAAGCGTATGCTTTGTGAATACCCTTAGGCCTGTTTCTGGTCAAATTACATGAAACATTGCAAACTGCTTTCAGGAAATAAGTAAATCCAGTTATACTGTGTTCTAAGTCTGCATCGACTTATCTGTGCGACCTGAATTAAGACCTGGATGCGGTTTGAACAGGTCAAGAGAAGTTTTGGGCATATAGTTACAGAAGCGGGTTGGGTGACTATTGACTTCCAGTGTTTGTTAGCAACGTTAGCCTAGCAGCTCCAGTTCTAAACTAAAGAAGAAAAATTCAGACACCAAACGTGACTTGGCTGACTAACTGCATTTGGGGTAGATGGAAAAATCACAAACTTGATTTTTTGCTGAACTAGTCCTTTAATGTGGGCAGTTTGTTCATTTGAAGAGAGTGATTACATTTTCACATGACTAATACGTCTAGTTAACAATTCATCATTACACAACTTTAATAGCTTTGCAGTTGCTAATTAGTAACTTGGGAGAATGGTTTAAAAGCACTTTGTCATTTCAGAATTGCTTCTGATTTATATCACTGCCGCTTTCACACTCAGATACTGAAACATCCCCTTCAATTACACAAGAGGAGACTTTTTTTCCTTTTAGAGAGATAAAATCATGCCCTCTGCTATGAGGGCCACATTATGATATAGAATCCGACTCTGCAAGTCACAAGTAATCTGTATTTTCTGTGTCCCTATAGAGTCACATATCTGCAGTCTGAAATACACATTTTAAAAATGCACCTTTGTGAACAGTCAATCATTAAAATCTCTCTCGCACTCACGCTCGCACGCTCATTTTTACAATTCATCTATCAACTCTTCTTATCTCTCTTGCGTTGCTGTAACAATTTTTTATGTACAATACTCGTAAATAGAACATAAATTACTACACAAAATTTGCTTATTCACAATTCCACTTTCAGTGACGCAATAAGGAAAAGGGAAAAAAAAATGCTCTGAGACAATTCACAACTCAAACGTATTTAAGAACAAATGTCTGTTGTTGGATTCTTATAGTTCGTGTGTGCTCCCGAGCCTGTGTTGAGCTGTCGAGACCTGAAAGAGAGCAAACAGTGAAAAGCTCCTCCTCTTCCTCTCCAGTGAAGAGCGTGACGGGACGCTATCGCCAGCGGGAGCGATGTGCGTTCATGTATATAAAAAAAAACTGTTCGGCCGACTCACGTCCCATCGGTTTGTTTGTTGTTTTGCGTGTAAACAGAACACCAGTAGTGTCTCGGGTTCGTGTGTCTCTCTCTTCTGTACAAAAGTATAAATATATGCTCTCTCTCGGTCTTCACATATCTAGGACGTAGTGGACGAACAGCAAATGGAAGAAAAAGCCTGCAGTTGTTTGGCTAAGCCGCCAGTGTAGCAGTAACTGAGCTGGTTTCCGTTGTTTGCTGGCTCGTGTCTGGTTCGACTCCTGGGATAGGGGTCTGTTTGGTGCGGGCATTGATAGTCTCTGCATAAATAGTGAGTGTTGCACAGTCCTGGGCCACCGGGCCAAAAACAACCATTTTTGTCCAACTACAGCAAATCCATTTTGGGTCTGTAATGCAGGAGTAGGGGGGATTTCTGGAACAGAGACAACACACAAACACATACAGGCGTGATTGAAAGCAGCCAGGAGCAGGTCAGCAGGGGCAGCGAGCACTGGCATTCTACAGCGCATTTTTTGGCATTTCTCTTTAAAGGTTATACATCTAATTACAGCTATGCACCCATAAAAGGGCAAATGAAAAAAAGGAAATATTTACTTTCATTGCACTATACGTCAGTCTTTCTGTATGGTTAGCACACACAGCAGTGGACTGCAATAAGAACAGAATAAGATTTCTTCCAAGAAGGTCTTTCTTAATATGGAAAGGGACAACTAAACATTAAGTTCTGAAAGTGGCATGCTTGAAAAGAACTGTAAATAATCCAAAAATGACACTCATTTATGCAGTCATATAGTAAAAGTAAATAGCATTTAAAAATTTCTTCAATATCAGCTCCACCAACATAGCTACTCAATACAGAACATGCTGAACTTTCAAGTAGGGGTCGGCAATGTGACAATATTTATCGTTATCGTGATAAATGATGTCACAACATGCTTTTCTGAGCATATCGTGGATACAGTCAATACTTAAAGTCAATATGAAATCACAATGCATCGTCCTTCCATCCCACGACACATTTCCAAGTGAAGCATGGTATCAGGGAAGGTTTCTGAGCTAGCTTTAGCAGTGTTTTGCTCCATGATATGAGGTTGGTGGAAAGAGGGGTGAAACATGATATTATTGGTTAATATTATCTTACTTGACCACTGGTGCACAGTGAAATAATCAAAAATCAGAAAATGTTTTAGAGGCGGACAAAAGTCATTACATTTTAATGGACGATTGCAGAAAAAATGAGAATTCTGTCTTTCACATGGTATGAGATGATTAATTGTGCTTCATTAATGTGACCGGGGTCATGAGCTAACAAGGTCAAAAAGGTCTATTTAGATTTCAGGCTGACTAAAGAGCATTGACCACCTGCATCATGCATTACAAAGAGAACATAATTAGTCCTGTTTATTTACATTTGATTATTTTCAGTGTGGAAACCTTACACACAAATCATTTAGAGTATTTTTATATGTGGCACCACCGGTTCACCTTTGTCTGTGCCAACTTATCCAACCTCATCTGTTCCAACTGATGTATATTGTGCATCATGATAATGTCAAATGTTTTGAAGTATTGTGATGTTATATTGTTACCATATCACCCACCCCTACTTTTAAGTGCTTCAGCTTCAATTTTAAAGCAGAATTAAACTATTTACCTTAAATCTCCATCTTGTCACCACAACAAATTTCAAAGTGTGGTCCTTGCCCAAGATTTCTTCATTGCATAAAATGTCCAGCTGAAAACAGAGCACACATGTTGGTCGTTGAGCAAAGCACAACAAAAGCAGTCCAGGGTTCTGGATGCAGCTGGCAGCAAGCCTTCAGCCCGTTCATTTGCAGACATTATACGAGCTGTGGATACGACCGCAGAGTGAGCCGCTCCAGGAGTTTTTGCATTTCATAATGTCTTCGAAAAGGAGAGACACCATGACGTCTGGAATGAAAAGAATCCATCTGTCTGGTCTGGGTACCTTACCATCAAACCCTATCAAAAACAGTAGGAGTCCACATGTATAACCGGACATCCACAGGTATCCTGCAGGGCTGGCTTTTCCTGACATAGATTACAGCTAGTCCATGACCTAAGAGCAGTTTTAGTAGAGAAGCCCATGTAGCATTGGAATTTAGTGTGTGTTTAAAAAAAAACTTTATCTGCAAAGCATCAAGGCTTATATGAGATTGAGATATATTCACATGAGCACCGCTACTGCATGTTTATGTGTCTCCTGATGCTGAAAAATTAGGATCTTCTACTTAATGGATGTTTTAACTGGAAATGAAATAAACAAAGGGCTGACTTCTGCACAGTACTGTATGTGCATGTATGCAGATGCTATGATATTATGCATATGAAAGTGTATGACCCGGGCCAGGACGAGACTGCGGAGTAGCATCACCACAGCACCCCCTGCTGGGTAAACTCTACACAGTGCACTGCCTTACACCATCTTAGAGGTAGATAAGTCAGGCTATCATTTTGCTCTGTATAATGAGCTAAAAGACTACAGAAGTAATGAAAGGATAGAAAAGTTACAGGAACTTGCTTTCACTATTGTTTTATTACCTTTACTTTATCTGCTACTATGAAGTGTAATTATCACCATAGAACCAATTTCTTTGTTCCTTAGCTTGGTAGGAAAATTGAAGCACCGACTTGTGCTATTTTGGATTTACGGTACTTCATTATGCTTCCAAGCAACAATGTCTTCTCAAAAGAGAACAAAAGACATCTGACAGTTATATTGTGTCAAACCAGTTTCAGACAGATCTGTGTGGCATGAAGCCCACCCACAGGCTTTTCTAGAAAAAAAATGGGCGAAGAGAGATAATGGGGCACCAACAATGATTAGCTGTGGCGCAAAGTGCGTTAAAATCCTGCTTACAATGCTGCTGACAGGCGGCACAGTATATGACAGAAAGCAAATGATATTACAAGAGTTTCTGTTCTACTGAACATATGGTGAGTGGCGAAAGCTTTGTGGGAAAGCGTGGCAGTGTGAAAGAGCTTCAATATCCCACACAGTGACTCACTGAGACACCATGACTGAGAGGGAAGACACATGCCAAGAGATATATGGCCCATTGTCATCACAGCAGCAAAACTCAACAAGGTAATTTCAAAAGAGGAGGCTTGGAATGGGCTTCTGGAGAGGGACGGAAATCTGGCCATATCTCTAGAAGGACAGAGAGGCCAGCGAAGTTATGCTGTGTGCTGGCTGAACCTACCTCATTGAAGGATGTCAAGTTGAGCTTCTTGGCGATGAATTTCTTCAGGTGGAGGACGGTAGCCTGGGCCGAACACCGGATCCATTTACGCTTCAGTCCACGCAGCTTACTGCTGTTACACTCCAGACAGATACTCACCTGAAAGAGAACAGGAGAGAGAGAGTAAGCACAGTACCAGGTACATAAGAGAGAAGACCAGTACCTTTAAAGTAAGAGAGAATACTGGCAAACAGATGTAAAGGAGTAATCATTATTAACCGACTCCGATTCTCAGCATTACATAGTTCACAGTATATAACAAAAGAGGAAAACTGTTTGGGAAACTCAGTAGCCAATGTGTCCCAAATACGCCCCATACACCATAACATCTGTGCAGAAAAGCACTGACTTTGCTATCTTTCATATGATTTCACACCTATTTGCCAATCAACCAAATAACTGCAGTAAAAGACCCCTTTTGAGGATTGTTTTTGTATGTATTCCAATTAAATTCCGTCACCCTACCCATTTTCCAAACAAACTCCCAGAAAAGACCAAATGCCAGTGGGTGCTCAGTCACTGTCCTCAGCCAAGCTACAGTTTGAGGCCCAGCGTGCGTGTATGTGCCTGTGACGGCCCAGCGTGAGCGTGAGTCAGAATGCATTAGAGCCTCCATGCCTCTTCTCACAGCTTCTCTACAGGTGAGAGTGTATGCAGGGACAGCACCTAAAGTGCCATTCTGATTGCATTAGCTTTAAATGGGGATGCATCGTAAAAATTAGTGGAGTATTTACTTCACATTCCCATTCCTATTACTAAAACAAACAGTGAAAAATGTGCTCATTAAACTAACTAAAACAAAACAGAATTACTGAGACAAAATCTTTTAGTCTTCATTTTTCAGTGCATGAATGAGAGGTTTGAAACAGATCCCTTCTGTGTTTGGCTGTTTTTAAGAAAAGCTAAAGCAAAGCTGAGCTCAGTCTATGTTGTTTTAATTTTATTCTACGCTTAACAAATACCTACCATCACAGCATACGCCATAATACTAAAAACTTAAAGTAAAACTAAACTACAAACTCAATTCTAAAAACTCTGGGATAGTAGGTACAATGCAAATAAAATCAGAATGAAGTGATTTATAAATCTATTTTGACCTGTTTTCGAACAAACACAGTATAGAGACAAGATATTTAATTTACTTCATCACCTTCACTGTCTTTTTGTACATGCATGTTCATTCTGAAATTGATTCCTGCAACAGGACTAATTTAAGCCTAGGAATATTGTTAAAACAGGGGACGTAATCATGCCTGGGTGGAAAAAGAGCATCCAGGAAAGGCCCTAATCCTTTATGAGCAAAGATGGGTCAAGGGTGACCACTCTGCCAAAAATGCATCAGCAAAACAGTTTAAAAATAACATTTCTCAGGCAGGAATTGCAAAGATTTTAGGTATTTCACACACTACGAGGCATAATAGTATCAAAAGATTCAGTGAATCTAGAAAAATCACTGCGAGTGAAGGGCAAGGCCAAAAATCACAACTGAATGTCCATGACTTTTGACCCCTCAGACTGCAATGCAAGTTAAAAATCCACATAACTAGTTAAAACTACTACACTCACCGGAAGCAATAAGTCAACAACGCCCATGAATGCAGTCAAATTCTTTGGACTCAAGCTCTTCTGAAATGCTCAGTGGAAACATGTATTGTGGTCTGTTGAGTCAACCTTTCAGACTACTTATCAAAAAATGGATGTTGTGTTCTCTGGACCAAAGAAAGAACTTAACAACCTTGCTCTGTACCTATTATGTACATTTGCCTACTATAAAATTAACTGTGTAAAAAACCCTGACATGTGTCAATCCCAAACATGGGAAGGGAGTTGGTGTGTTGTTTTCTTAAGTATCAAGGCACTTGAGCATTTACTTGCATTGTTTGCAACCCAAGCTGATCAGCTGGCTACTGGCTCACCAAAAGTAAAAAGACCTGTGTTTAAGGATCCACTCTGGAACAACACTCACTTCGGCCAGATTCTGTTTATAAATGTTAAATGCAGGCCCATTTGAAGGTCAAACAGTGCAACTGTGGTGGCTTAATCCCCAGCCCCCTGGTGGACACTGTGGACAATGAACTGCAGATGAGCACAGCAGCTGGTCAGGGAAGAGAGCTGCAAAACAAACAGGCCAGCGCTAACGGAGCCAGAGTCGAGCGGCAGGAGCCTCTGCCATTAGCGCAAGAGAAAGTGAAATATGACTTTGTGTGCGTGTGTGCGCGTGTGTGTGTGCGTGTGTATGTGTGTGTGATTACTGGGTCATTACTGCACAGCCAGGCCAGTTCTAATCGACACAGTCACAGAAATGACTAATGCAGTATTCACTCAAGCCAATTACACCTTCAGATCAAAGCAAGGGAGACAGCACACATTTCCAAAAGAAAAAAAAACAAAACAAACGCTCCACTGGAGGCTGGGATTTGCTAATTATCATTGGCTGAAATCTAATTATTATAGGGGGTTAATATGCTGGTATGATTACGAACTGATCATCATGCAATGGCACCTGTGATGCATATCAATTTATACACTGTGGGAGTCGCCACACGCTTCAGGTATGAATATGAATATGGATATATACGGTCATATGCAAATGTTTGGTCGCCCCTGGTCAAATTACATGTTTTGTTGATTTTCCGAATGAAAATAAGTTTACACATCCTCTACAGAGAACATACATCTGCAGATTTTAAAGCACAATTACTGTTTAGATGCTTAATTTAACATACTGTAAAAAATAAAACATAAAATGTGGTCTGTTTAAAAGTTATGGCATATTTCATATTTTATTTTTTAATAAAATGAAACCAGCAAATAAACAGAAATTTTGCACCAAAATTTGCAAAATATAAAGTCTCTGCAGAGGATGTGTTGACTTATTTTCACTTTGATTTACAATTTGATGGGGGTGTTCAAATCAAAGGGTAATTGACACCTGAAAAATGATCAATTTGTCATCAGCAACTTTACAGGGCAGGAACGTGAAGAGCCAATGGATCTGTATATTATAGAAGTTATATGAACTTCCAGTTCTTCCAGTAGCTATTCGAAATGGAACAATACTCATTTCACCTGTTGATAAAAGGTGCAGCCTCATTCAATCAGGGGTTTTTGTCAAGCTGCTCTGTCAAAATGTGTACCATAAAAAGTGCAATAGAAATAAAACTGAACTGAAATTGTGTCACTTATAAATGCAGAAATAACTGGATATTGAAGCTCCAAATAATCTGCTTCTCCAAGTTCACTTTACCAAAAGGGCAAAACCATGATGAACTCACAAAACCCTTTTTATAGAAATGATTAAATGGAGGAGACTGGCAGCAGCTATTCGAAAAGGAATTACACCCTGTGCATTTCTCTTTTCCTCATGGATGAATAGCGAGTGAGCAGCCTCATTAATTCAGCTTTTTCTGTACGGCCATTATGTCTGTTGTAAAACTACTAAGCTGCCGTGTCTACTGTAAAAAGTGCTATACAAACAAAACTGAATGGAATTAATGCTCCTCTATGCAACTACACTCTTATTCTCCAACTGAGCTGTTCTTGCTGATGTTAGTTTGAGTCGTCAGCTCAAGGTCATGGAGTGGAACGCTGACCTGCAGACACAGAAGCTGAAGCATTCCGGAGCCCCCCCAGCCAAGCAGAATTCCTAAGGGAAATCTTATTTATTTGTTACATTATGAATGAGGCTAAAGTGGCTGCCTCAGCTTTCACACACTGAGGCACAAAAGCACGCGCACAAACAACATCAACAACACAATGCACACAAACATCAGAGAGGGGGAAGGTTATATATACACACACGCATGCATTCTCCCCGACAGTTTGCCGTGTAGTCAGGGCAAATTCAGCAATCTCTAAGCAGCACACTCCTCATGCACAAAAAAACATTCACCCCAAGAATATCGCATATACACACACATCTCTTACTGCTGAATATTTGGAGTCCAGAGCTTTGAGTCCTGAGTACTGCAGCATACACTAGGTCTGGCCCAAACAGCATTTTACAGGCTTCAAATAAGCCTACTTGTTGGTATTTCTGTATCGCTGGAATATTTGTTCTCAAAATCACCCTTAAAAACATTTATTAATCGCTGATTACTGATGGACATGATTAATCTCTAATTAATGATGGATTAATGTTGCATCCCTACTTCCAACTCAAAACACATACGCAGAAAGAATATATTTTTTAATTTACCCTTTCCCTAAATCATACAGCCATTTAACACATGCATTCTTCCCAGAAAATTTAACAGGAATTACACTGGAAGTGTTTAAGTGCGAACGCAAACTGGAGTCACAATCCTAATAAAGTCACAGTCATAAGAGACAGTAATTTACCTGCATGAGACCTAGTACAACACTTGAGAAATTACTGAGAGGGCTTGTGTGAACAGAAGCCGCTACATTATCAGGAACCACAAAGACATCCAGATTATGTTTTTTCCAGTAAATGTTTTCATTTTGCTACTGAAAACATTATGGGAGTGTATTTTGTACATGATTCTAGACAGAAGCTGTAAAAATCTACCCTGCGTGTGTGCATAAGTGCTTCTGTGCAAAAGTGATGCAGCAGGGCCAAAAAAAAGCAGAACTTTCTAGTTTTTACAAGAGAAAAAAGCTGAAAAAAGTATTTCTCTACATGATTTCGAAGTGAAGGAGCTGTTAAGTTTTCTTGCTGAGAACATCACCTCGTGTTTTCTGGGATTTTTGTGGCATGTATGAACGCTAGCAGTGAAAGTAACTCGATAATGTCCTCAGTTTTGAGTGTGATAGGGGCCATATATACACACACATCTCTCACTGCTGAAAATACAGAGCACAAAACTTTCAGTCTTCTGAAACAACCCAAATACACACACACACACACAGCCTCCTTAGATACAGAAAGGGCAAACGTTCAACTACAATCATCTTTAAACTCAAAGAAAAGCAATACACCATGATCCATATTCTGTACACATAACCTGTGAAGCAGTGTCAGCTGCTGCCCTTTGAGGGACAGTACTGAGTTTGGAAATAAGACTCAGAGCCCCAATCTTTAGTCCCTGCATTATTAACCACCTCTACCCACCACACAGAGGGTGGACAGGAATACAAAACAGCAGCATCGGAATCATCGGAATAGATGCTGCACAGCACAAAAGGACCCGAATCATACTGCAAGTCCCAGCAGTTGCACAGAGGTAAAGGAGAGAATTTGTCTTTTATAGTGCTGTGTACAAATACACCTATAAAAGAAATGATGACAACTGTAACGCCTCGGTGACCCAGGAAAGCAAAAACGAGTTTTGTAAAGGCCTGCAGTGTAAAGAGTAACTCAGCAGACACAGCGTGCTTCATACAGACCAGACTGTACTGACAACCAGACTGAATAAAGCCCACTGTTCTTTATCTTAGTATAAAAAGAACAGAGAGAGAGAGAAACAGAGTGAGATTCTTTTGTCTTTTTCCTCTACATATGCATATGTACATAGACACGGCACTGAGAGAGAGAGAGAGAGAGAGAGAGAGAGAGAGAGAGAGAGAGAGAGAGAGAGACAGAGACAGAGACAGAGACAGAGACAGAGAGAGTAAAAAGAGAGCAAAAAGATAGAGACACAGAAAGAGAGAAAAAGACACTCTTACCTGTTCATCACTGCGATGATAATCATTATCCTCTTCTGGTTTCTCTTCTCCGTCCTTATTGGCTCCGTCCTCTGGTTTCACATCACCTGGATTTACAAACAACATATATAGAGATGAGTAAGTTAGAAAACAGTGTGCATAGAGATGTATAAGACAAGAGTTTATATTGAGTTGAGTATGTTGGAAAAAGGTGTATATATATATATATATATATATATATATATATATATATATATATATATATATATATATATATATATATATATATATATATACATATATACACACACAGATGAGTAAGACAGAAGAGAGTACATATACAGATGTGTAAGTTAGAGAACAGTATATACAGAGATAAGGTAGAGAAGATGGCCTTGCACTTCCTCTAGCCATTAGTGGACGAGGGGTATTCCAGACCCATTTTGAATAAGTTGCAGGAACCAATCATTTACACAGGTCAAGTAGGAATACAGTAGAGGCCCTCAGTACTGCTGTCTCCACTAGGGATTAGAAACAGAGACTATGAAACAAAAACAAACGTAGAAAACTAAGAAGAGTGAAAACTTTGCTAAAATGCTTTTTCAGCGTTCCCAAAATAGGTTTCCAGGACTTTTCCAGGACAACTTCCAAGTACATTTCCATGACTAGCAAAACTGACAGCTTAAAATGTCAGTCACTGTTACATGCCATGGCACGTATGTGTAGTTTAGGCTGTTTTGGTGGAGCTGCCTGGCACAGCTACCTTCCCACTGGTGGATTCAGTTCTACTCAGGTGACCAATCAGGAGGAATGACATCAGTGAAAGGGGAGGAGCTTCAGACTTAAGACCCTGCTGAGACAAGATGGCAGGAGGGCTGCCTTACATCATTCAGAAGCTCTTAGACACAAGGTTTAGAATTCATGCTAACCGCAATCTTTTTGCATACATTTGCCATGTAGGGGTTTTTTTGGTAAAAGAGATGCAGTAGAAAAATCACTTTAAAGTATTTTACATAACTAAGAGCTTAGCTTAAAATCCTTCTTAGTCCATTTGTCAAGTCCAGTCCTGTTGGTAGTTTTAAAACCTAGGGAAACGTGCAGGCTATTAGGGCGAGCCTGTACCTAACACTGGTAAACACACTAGGTAACTTTACCATGACTGGGAAACTAGCACGGACATTTTCAGTCAAGCTCATTTTTGCTAGATTGGACTGCTACAACATGTGGTTGTAGTATGAGAAGAAGCTGTATGACTGTGATAGAAAACTCTAAGAGAACCCTGGCTGGAGTTCTGGGGGGCTTCTGCTTTAAGCTAGAACCCAGATCCCGCTTGATGAACAGAAGTAGGACTGAGATAGTGGACTGAGCAATGGGGAGGAGAAGGGGAGCTGGAGAGTCAAAACAGAGGAAATGGAATGTAGAGATGGAAATTTATAGGATATCAGATTGGAAGGGGGGGGGCTTCAGGCATAATCCTCCTTCCAAACATTGGTTAATTCATAACTCCATTTAACCAGTTAAAAGTGTGTATTTTCTATCAGTTAAACTATTGGTATTGTTATTTTCAGAAGCCTAATATCTGCATAGTAAGCTGTACCGACTGAATGGGCTAAAATATAGAGGAAAATAGCAAAAATACTTTAAATGTAGGTGTGTTTAACCTGTTTGGCCTTGTTCAGACATATCTAGTCCAAAAAATACCCATATTATTGATATCCATGTTCAGGAGCATGTTTGGGATCCATGACTCTATGCATTTCTAATCAATCCAGAAGCCTTTGATAAATGTTTTGATTCATCTATAATTCATTCCAACATTTTTTATGCATGCATTATTCAAAACTGTTAAGCCCTGAAACCTAACACTGAGCTAGTGCGGTAGGTGACTGGTATAAACAACAATATTCAACTCTCGACTCCATTCTGACAGTTACTTTATTAAACAGGCTGTGCACTGGATCATTAATCAGCACACTAACACTGCCACCGCCACCTCCCCAAAATGCAATTATGTCAAACTGATTCCCCATCGTATTTATAAGCCTCACAAAACAAGGCCGCACCTAATCAATGGAAACGCATTCATTTGCGACTTTTCTTTCGCGGCCAAGGACGGAGTTGGAGTAATCAGCTGGAAGGATGTCCCGCACCTCTGAGGCAGACACAGATGGACTGAACTCATTAGAGGCACCCCTCAAAGAGGGACGGCGAGCAGGAGAACACGGTAAAAAATAGGGTGGCTACATCACAGGAGAAGCTGGAGCATCGGCTGTTACAAGGAGCCAGAGAGAGCGTTCAGATGCATCAAGAACAGCTTAAGATTTTGGCTCCTGCTGCAGTTGTCCAGCTACTTCTTGGAGAAACTCTAAACATCCTCTCACTCCGTTCTAATGCTCCTAGCAGTGCAGCAAGCCGAGTGAAAGTGGGCTAATCTGTAGCAGGCGGGCTGTGCAGCTGTGAAACAGGGGATTTCGTGTTAAATAAGTTTTCTTGCTGGAGAGGAGGAGAAGAGGGTGATGGTTTGTTCTGTGCCTGTTTCTCTTCCAGGCAGACTGGGGCTGTCAGAAAGACAGACTAATCCTGCTCCCAGGCCCACCATCTCTCTTACTTTGAAACCGCTTTGGTAATTACCATTCCGATGGGATCAGGGATACACTAGCAAGTGACCTTCCTGGACACACTAGAGAGTAGCGGCCAAACTAGGTCAGAAGCAGGGCTGCAGTTGACGTTTATTTTTATAATCAATTAAAGTTGCAACTACGATTATTTACATAATCAATTTATTTGCAACTAACCATGACTGCTATAGTCAAATCATTTGCAACTAATCCTTACTTCCACAATTGCAACTAATAATTATTTCTGTAATCAACTGGTCTGCAACTGGCAATTGTTTCTATAATCAGTTGATCTGCAATTAGTAATTATTCCTAAAATTGGTTAATTCACAACTAATGTCCATTTCTATAATTGGCTAATCCGCAACTAATGGCTATTTCTATAATCAATTAATCTGCAACTAATGATGATAAATAAACTAATGAAACCATTATGCACAATCTATTGGCTCTTATTCAATTAATCAAACCATTACGTTTTCTACAGTTTGCCCAGGTTACAGCAATGCCATCATTCAAAGTTCTCTTATTCAAATCGTGTGCCGAACGATTTCTTCTTTTAAAAGTGCAATAAAATATCAAAAGCCATCTTGCCCCGATGCTTCCTTTAGTGTACCGTAATCAGTCAGAATAACCACATGTATCACATTAACATAAACAGCACACAGAGCTTTGAATAACCATTGTGTTTTACATAAAGAACACAGACTGTTTCCCCCCACAATTGTCAAATAATTGTTGCAGCCTCAGACAAAAGCCTCCCATAGTTATTTAGAAAAAATAAACACATTATAAGGCCTTTGGGCAATGCTTCTTTTACCCAATTATAGACTAGTAAAAAGTAGACAAACTCAATGTGCTTGACCACACACACACACACCTGAGCTTCACTAAATCACCATCCTGAAGAAGCACATGCCACTTAAGCCTGACATATAGACTCAAACTTGCATATAAATGACTGACAATGCAACTGAGGAAGAGAAATACCCAAAGGCTATATATATGTATGTATCTCCCTTGGAGGCACTGTGTGCATTATGAAGCGCACATGACCACTTGTCAAGCAGTAGGCACCATTACCGCATCCGCTAGCGACACCGCGTCACTTTCTGACACAGCTTTCAGCTTTTTGTAAATCAGAGAGAAGAGCTAGCCGATGGCGTTAAGTGCTGGAACTGGCACCCCCTACCGCAACACCCCCCACCTTTCTCCCCTGTCTCTCTCCCTGTCTTCTTCACAGCAAGGGCAGAAGGAGCATGCAGCATTTAAATGAACTGTTATTGTGAGGCACAAGCCTGCCAAACGTGCTGTGACAGTGGGGAATGAGAGACCACTTCCACTTCCATTTGAGCCTTAATTACCAAAATCAGGCTTGTGCATTAGGCCAGCGATTAAAGCTGCAGGCCTGGCAGGCCTCTGGGTAGCCATCCACACAAGCTATTAGCACCAACCAGTGCACACTTACAGCAGAGTAAAGACAGCCCTGCTCTAATTGGGCTAAGTCACCTCCTAAAAGAACATGGATGTCATGGACACCCCCATCAGAAGGCTGTTGAATAGAAAGTTGTGGTGAAACCACTGTTTGATTTATGATTAATTATTTATGTACTTGTAAAGTCCATCATCTATGTCTGTCTTTAAAGTGATAAAAAAAAAAAAAATTTACACAATTTTCCCTGTATCTCAGTATAGTTTAAGAAATATTTGCCATCTAAAGTTTGTCTCTTTAGTTCAGTTTAGTTTAGTTTAGCTTGGAGGTATGAGGCAAATGTAGGTCACATAATGGAAGCCCACGCTACAGAAACTGGAATCGTTTAAACTTGCACTCACCTCAACAGTGTTGAGTTGTTTAAAGAGATCATTTATGGAAAACTAATTTTTTTCTTACATTTATGAAAAAGTTAGACCTAGTATATAAACATTGTTACAATTTCAAAACACTGCTGTTCGCTCACCAGCCCAAGAGCGATGTATGATAAAAGAGCTCTGTTCTGAGTGGCTGTCCTGTATTATTGTGCTGAAACACTCAAAATACCTCAATGAGAATGGGCTGGGGCTAAACAGCTGTAGGCTGAAAAGGTGGATGAAAGTAAAGAGTTGGTTCTCATCACATCACAAAAACAATGAATTCAGAACAGGCTGGTTTTGCAGCACAGTTTCCATACATGGTCTGTACGGACTGGTTAGTAAGTGGTACATTTTGGAACTCTCACAAATGTTTCATATTATTAAAAACTCCTTAATTGAACCAAAAAGTGAGGGAAATTTAGTTTTCCATGATACGGGTCCTTCAAAGCCACCGTGACAAAACCAGCCTGTTTAACTGTAAGGGATAAAACCTCACAAATGTAAATTGGAATCTCTGTGAAAAAACAGAATACAAAATGATAGGATGAAGAGGATAAGTCATCTCAAAAAGACTTAGTGGCGTAGTGTGTCAGAAACCACACAGGCAAGTCTATTTGAGATTGCTTAATTTGCTTGTGACAAGTGTGCAATAATATATGAGCTTCTATTGCTTGTTAGCTACATCAACTTCACAGTTCCAGTGCAAAACAAAAGAAGCAAACTTTAGACATCAAAAATCTTGGCTTATTATTTTTTGTGGTAAGGAGACAATGTGCAAATTTGTCTTTTTCACAAAACTATTCCCAGCTGGATTATACCAGCTATAGAAGTGGGTGTGTGGAACGTACCATTGCGTTGGGAGTCCAGGTGGGGCTTCATGTTACACAGCTCTCCTTTAATGTCACCTGGTACCTCCATGCCCAGCTTCTGGTAGAAATCTCTCTGCTTTTTCAACTCCGCTGCATGGGAAAATATTTAGAGATTCATTTTGAAATATCACTCCAAGACTTATACATAATATCCATTAAACACTCCATTAAACATGGGTGCATAATAGCTTTAGTATCATTGTTATCCTTAACTGGTGATGTTCATTTGCTACAGGCCATTCATATTATTTGACTGCATTACAAGGCTCTTAATCATCGAGAAAAAGAAGATATGGAAGAAAAACATGTCTGATTTGAGGGTTTAGATATTTGAAAGGACATTTTGTAATCAGTCAACAGTGTCACTGGCAATGCTGCGTGCTGGATCAAAATAAATAAAAATCACCAACCTTCTTGCAGGCCTGGCACCAACTTGTAGACAATGTCTTGCATTGTTCGGTCATGGCTGAAAAGCGGAGAAAGAGATGCGATATAAATTGTAATGACATGGATAAGAGCAAGAAAACGGCATATTCTGTAATTGTAGCATTAAAACAATGAGTTTACTGCTTACTAACATCATAGTCATTACAAATATTACTATTAGATGACAACAACAGGAAAATCAGTTATTTTTAGGCTTAGCCTTAAAATGAGAACATAATATTAGCACTTGCAGTGATTTCAGTCATGATTCATGATTGAAACATTAATTACATGCTTCTTTTTTTACTTTAGTTTTGCACGCATGTCAGTGTAAATACAGTCAATCATGACTTATGTTACTACTGAATACTATACAGAAAAGGCTTTAGGCTTCAGCTGTCCATGTGATTCTAATATTGATGGTTCTCTGGAGCTGTTAATTACTGTAGAGGGAGGCAAAGCCACTAAGCATGTGTTGACTTGTTCATCTCTATGGCACCTGATACTGCAATCTACCTCTGAGACACAGTTAACATGTCATAAAGCCTTAGGGCACCAAGTCCCTCTGGCGAATAGTGACAACAATCCACTGATCCCACATTAACAGTAAGAGAAATCTGATATCAAAATCTAAAATGTATGTGGTTGATGCTGTCTGTGTGACACGACATCTCCAGATATCTGATCCTACAAAGAACGCAAAATGTACCCACAGACTGACAGCTTAAAGGAATTAAGATGCACGTTTTTCAGTCTAAGCTGTAGCACAACGTCAATTACCACAGACAGTCATTTCAGTGTGTTTCTATTTACTTATAAAAGAACAGGAAACATGGCTTGAATCACACTTTTAATAGACCTCAAAGGGCACTTGCTTTAACTTCTGCTTAATAGGTTCTATTATAAGTTGGTTTCAAATCAACAGGTTTTCTGTTGTTATACTAAGTACAGGGAAATTCTTTAAATTACTATCCATAGTAAATCAACCACATCCAACAAACGAGGCAGAGAGTGATTATGCGGAAAAACTCTAATACAATGGAGTATTTCTATAAGCCAAAAGTGAGGACTAGGACTGCTGTGTCACTTACCTCCTCACTTATGGACAGTTTTATCTTCTGGCTTGTTTATCCATTTATCACTTATACTCATTTAAGTGTAATTTAAAAAAAAACAAAAAAAAACAAAAAAAAACGCCAGCTTAAGTTACGTGGCTAACATAGATGGCACGGTGCCACTTTTCCTTTTCATATACTGATATGGATATTGAAATCTCAAGCATTGGCTGATACCGATCCCAAATATTTCTTCTTTAACCCTTTTAACTATAAAGCTTTAAAAAGATTTTTAACTGAAGCACTTCACTTAAAAGGGCCCATATTGTGGGAAAACTCAATTCTCCTTGCTTTTCTTGAAGTAAGAGAGCTGAAAGTAGACTGTCATTCTCAAACACTACTACACCACAGGAAGAAACACACAGCTGACAACTTCACATCACACAGTGTGAGTGTGTGCTATTCTTAGGCTTGACTTGATACATGATTGAATCAGATTAATTTTTTTTCAAAATCCGATCCTGCATTTTCTAGTCATATTGGCCTGATACTAATTCCTCTCCATACTGACATGCCTACTCTACTGGCTAACAGATCATTACTGCTTTGGTAGAGTTTTTAAATTTTAGCACATGCGAGATAAACACACGCAGGCCTACGTCTGATTCTAGATCAGCCAGCCTGAGCTGCAAGCTGTGCAGTAGGGTCCAGGCCAGTGTTAGCTCATCATCAGCTCCACTGGGGAGGGATGAGAGAGAGGCCATGTCCCCGATGCCCAGCCAGAGGGACCACCTGTTCCCCCAGGCCTGCCACACACTGGGGAAACAGTGGCCCAATTAGCCATAGCCATGCTACCACAGCGAAGGCCGGGGGGCCCTGGGGAGGGGAAGGTGACTGCCATTTAAAGATCATCATCAACAAACTATGTGTGTGTGTGTGTGTGTGTGTGCGCGTGTGCGCGCACGTGAGATCAGTTTTTGTGAGCTAACGCTGGTTTATAACACACAGACAATTCAGCAAATGCTTGCCAGTGATCAAACAGCAGAGGTGGCAAATACAGAGGGTGTTAAACTAAGGTCACGTTAATTATGCGCAGTCAGTGAGGATGGCATTTGCTTTGAGGGGGAACCCAGCATTGTTACAGGCTTTAAAACCCTCACCATCTCCCACTCCATCCTCACTTGCACTCGGCCCGCCTTTCATCTGGCTACAGGCCTGCATTTGCAGAGCCATCTGAAAGGCCCCAAGCAAAAACAGGCAGCACAGTGAATATTTAATGTGTTTGGAAAGTGTTTTTCATCAGCGTGTGAATGCTACTGTGCCGCCGCTAAATGACAATTATGAAATAACTGGCAACCAGCCCAAAGGCTGAGCCATTAATCAGACAATAACACAAAAAAAAGCTGAAAGCATATAGAGACCACCAACCCCACCAATTCTCACACACAGGCAATAATCCAAGAACACGGTGTTTTTAAATGGGGTTAAACGTTTATGCTAAACATTGGACTACTAGGACTCCATAAACATATAAAAAGTCAAAAAGAAAACATATTAAAAACAGTAACAGATAATGTAGTAGCATTTTAGTTAAGCAGATGTGCGACTACTGGGTGAACCAATTGGAGCACAGTAAGGCACAGAACTTGCAGACCCCTTTATATACTGTATTTAAAGATCAAACTACATCACAAAACAAGCATCACAGTTCAGTCTGAATTCTCACCAAAGATAAATGAAACAGCCATGTTTCACTAGTTTCACTGCCCACAGTGAGAGCATGAAACAGTTAGCAACGAGTCTCAAGGTGGCTCTAAAAGAAATACGATTCTTTCACAGTGCACACAGGTATTAGTAATGCTGCAGGGCGCTTCCTCATCATATTTGAAGAAGGCAGACAGTGAGGGAGTCAGAGTGAGAGAAAAAGCAAAGAAGAGGGTATAAAGACTAAAGACACAACTCTGCAACTGTTAGATTTACATTTATAGCATTTGGCAGATACTCTTATCCAGAATTTGCAATTTAATCATGTTACAGATGTAGGCGAATGTAGTGTTAAGAGTCTTGCCCAAAGACTCTTACTGGTATAGCACGGCGTGCTTCCCTAAGCCAGGAATCAAATCCCAGCTTGCTGTGTGGACGGCAGCGATTTTAACCACTATGCTACACATGCGTCCCTGGTCAAATTAAATATTGTGACTGACTGCCTGACATGTTCACACAGCACCAACAAGTCATTGTAGGTAAGCCTTTGTGAGGCTGTCACAGTGATGCTCATGTGGAACAGACAACATGCGGAATCAACTTACAGCTCTTCTCTGAACTGACTTGTGTCAACAAGAACAGTGTGTCTCGGTGGACCCCTACAGGGCTGTGGTGGGCAGTACAGTGACAGAGCTGTCTGCTTGTCTGTGTGGATGTGTGTGTATGTGTGTGTGTGTGTGTGTGTGTGTGTGTAGGGAGGGTCGAGTCTGTTTGCTGCAGTAAACACTCACCCGATATACTGCAGTGGGTGGCTCTGGTGAATGACAATCCTACACGTGGGGCACGTGTTGTTCTCTTCCAGATACTTCACTAAACAGCTCCGGCAGACTGCGCACAGAGAACACGCGCTACAGTGGATCTACACATTACTGCATTACATTATTTACATGACACTGGCAAGATCAGTGGAAATGCTTAGCAATATGGCTACACAAAAAACAGCCAGCTTCACTTTATGTATAATTTGGAATAAAAAGTAATAAAGAAAGATTATGCTATGTAAAATTATTATTTAAGATTGAAATCAAAGTGAATGAAAGTCAACAAAGGTTTCTGTTCAAAGCAGTTCTGTCATATTCCGGCACCACAAGCCAAGCGTGACACTACAGCTCCCTCTACTGTTCAATTCAAGTATTACTGCTGTTAAAAAAAAGCTAGCATCTAAAGATGTAAAGCTCCAAAATGGGTTTTACATGGTTCTTTTATCAGTGCTGCACCTAATAACATACAAACAGATGAAGAGGGTGAAATTTAAAAACTGTTCTAAGTGAATCAAAATGAAATGGATATAGACAAGTGTTCACTTCCTGACATTTTAATCATTGTTGTTTTATTTAATATCATGCAAACTGGAATACAAGTTACACACCTGAAGGTATTTTAAGACATTATATATATTATCCAATATTTCAGGTTTCTTGGGAACATCAAGAACTTAATTATAAATAATATTGTTTTATTTATAGTAATTTCTCAGTACGTTTTCAAGCTGAGATTATCACCACTTTCAATTGTGAGGCATTTTAGTCAGCAGGAGAATTTTATTATTTTATTGTCATTCTCAAAGTTTTGCAGCTTTGTCTGTCATTATGGAATCATCTACAGGTCTGTTCATCTTTCTGGACAAATCTAAAATCTAAAATTTCCTCTTTTTTTACAGCTTCATAAAAATTAGTTTTTAAATAGAAAATAGTGATTCCAAACTTTTTAGCACTAGTGTACAAAGCTGTGTCCGATTTTAGATCAGCCCACAGTGTCCGATTCATAGTTAACATTCAAATTGTTCTACTTACCTGTCAATGTTGCAATTAACAAAAAGTAGAGATATAAACAGCATTAAATATATATATAAACAACACTAACTGAACAAACGGCAGCCAAAAACACTACGCTTACAGAGCATGTGTATGTGTGTGTGTGTATGTGTGTGTGTGTGCACACACTTACATGTGTGTAAGCATTCAGTGACTGTGGTGGCGTCGATCAGGTACCCTTCACACAGGCGACATGTAATGTGGGCATTAATGTCCCACAGTTTGATCTTTCTCGTGAGCATCTCTGGGTTCTGTTGGACAAACAGCCAATCAAAACAGAAATAATTAAAAACTCATTTCATAATTAATCTCTTATTACACAAACTCACTCCAATCTCTAGCTTGGACACATCTTTTCTTTTACTTAAATTGGAAGTAGAACATTCTGAAACTTCCACAAGGTTCTCACTGTGTAGAAGTGAGCCTGTAAGATGGTATAAGGTGAAATTGTGCACGAGTTCTAGTTTTCCTTTTCATCTGTCATTCTAAGAATAGAAGTCTCACTATTGTTTAACTCAGAACAAGGCCATGTGAGTAGTCAGCCTGCAGTATCGACCAGGCACCCTATATACCACAGCAGTGCAGAGACAGTGGGTTTCAGTTTGACCACTACTCAACAGTGAGCTAACAGATAAGTCTGAATGTGGCTGCACAAATACTCGGACTTTAAATGAAAATCGCAGCATATTTTGTGGGGCATGGTAAAAAAGTTGCTTCACACCGCTCAGAGAGCCACGCTAACAAAAAGAAGACCAAGATAAGATCGTCCAGTCTCTTAGACATAAGTTCTCCTTTTTTGTCACGTTCAAATGTAGATTTCTTTTAAAGGTATCTTGACTCTTTGCTTTTCCAATACTGTGTACAATTCTGTATCTACTGCTTTGGAGTAACATTTGTTTTTCTTAAACTTTTACCACAAATTACACAAAACTGTGCTGATGTTCAGAACACCTCTGAAAGTGTTCTGACCCAGTGGACTGAAGTGAGATTAAGGAGATTTCTCACTCACACTGTTCCACATTCAGTGCCATCGAGACTTTCAGTAAATTTGCAGCAGTGGAAAACAGCATGAGTGAGAATTTCATTTATTCTGAGATAATTATTTGGGGCAGTCTCTCCACACCACAGCTAAACAATAAAAAAAACTACATCATTGGGGAATATGTGGGTGTAAATACACATTTTAGTATAGGAGTAATGTAATGCCATACATATGAACATTTGTAGACATTCTTAATCACACTGACCTCTCAGACACAGCAGAACAACACAAGAGACTGTTAACATGCATAATAAAGGACAAAACAATCAGTACACATACAGTGTTACACTGTATAAAGACAGTCTACAACCCATAGAACTCTAGAGCTATTGTTGTTACTATACTAAATTATTAAAATGTAAAATAATTACAGTTAATTACATAGTCACATGACAAAATTACATATATACTCATTGAGTATACATTGAGTATACATATATACTTTGTGTTTGTTTTAATGTAAAAAAATGACAAAAACATGGAAAATTTGTAAAATCTGGCATCGTCATCCACAAAATAAGTCTGTAAAACAATAACTTAACACTAAATTCAATCACAATAAAATACTGGTAACACTTTACATTGACATAACCATTACATAAACATCTCAGTGTATTTTTATGAAATATATGTAGTTAATTAAAACAACGAAATTCAGTCAAAAGTGTGCATTCGAAACATAGCAGTAGAACAGGAGAATTGACATAACCATGCCATAAACATGTAATGACAGATATTGGTCAGTTATATAACCGTGTCATGTTACCATTAGTTGCAATGAAATGCCATAACGTATGATGTCATGGCAGCTTACCTAGCAAAAATTGTATGTAGCATGTATTATAATGACAACTCATGACACCATACAACATCTGTTATGACATGTTTATGGCTTAGTTATGGCAATGTTATGTATCACTGTTTATATATTACCAAAACATCCTCTTATAAACACAAATGTATCGACTGAAAGTTTAGAATGTGCAGTTTTGACAGAATGTCTCTGATTTAATAAGCCACAAGTGAGAAAAACATAATACAAAATTACACTAGGCCTGTGCAGCTGCCAGCGTCAACTTCAAAAGGTTATAGTTAGCTGTTCAGGGTGTGAACTGCAGTGGCATAAAGGCTGATTTTTTAAATCCGTGTCTTAAAAGTGCTGTAACTTACCCCTATTGCCGCCATGTGTTTACTGCAGAGAATGGGCAGCCAGGCTTCTTCTAGCAGATGGAGGCCAGTATTAGCTCTGCATCCTGGACTGCTGCTCACACATCTATTGAGGAAACAACCAGGACAACAAGTTCAGGGTCAGTTCATGTCAAATCAGCTGAAAAAAAGAAGTTATAACACCATCCATCACTGACCCAGTGGCCACGCCATAAAAATATGCAAAAATCTGATAAGATCTTCTTCATCTTACAACAAATTATAACTGAGGCTTAGATTAGAACCTACTTTAAATTGTGTTCAACAGTCACAGGAGCCCAAAACAACAATCAAAATGTCAGAGTACAACTACTGAATCCTACAGCAATTTTTTTTTTTTCAAATACCTATTTCTGACTGAAAGACGGATCACATTTGAAACTGAGATGGTTATTTGTTTCAGTCAGAAGATTTTCACATTTATCTTTCCAACAGAACGAATGTGTGTTGTCATAACCGGTCCATCCAGATGAGGGCACTGTCTCGTCATACTGATTGAAAAAGAAATGAGTTCGGTGCACACTGAAGTTACACTTATGAACTCAGCAGTTAAAGAACATCTTTGCACAGTAAGTGACTGAACCTCACTGATTTACATGTATTGATCCTCTACCAACATCATACTATGAGTAATCCACATTACATATCAGACTAGTGTTGCACGGTGTGTCAAACGTTCAACACTTTTTTTAAAGACAATACAGACAAACCAACCATTACACTACCTGTCTATCATTCCTTTTAATCATTTAAATAAACTAACACCAGTGATACTGTATTTTGCGCTTAAGTTAGTCAAACTGCACATGCTAACCTTGTATCTCCATTTTTGTCAGTTCAGTTTTTTCATGTAACTGTAAAACTGCAGTTACCCTTCACATTGTGTCTGAATGTCATGATAAATGCCCCAAAAGAATTGGTCCCAAATGACTTAGGATAAGATCTTTATTTATTAACTTCCTTTCCAAGTTAAATGATATTTTTCCTTTTCCTTTGAAGTTACATTTTTGGTGACTGTGTCCTGAAAATAACAATATCTAGAGAATACAGCAGTGTGATTTGCTTGCTAGCTAAATAGAGGTGAAGAGTTCTATTCAGAAAGGTGATCTTAGAAACGATTAACAAAGTATAAGCCACTGAGTATTTGTTTTAAACAAAGAGTGCTGAACGTTAGGCTACACTGTAGAGGGAGAATCGGGGTGGTAGGCACAGGTTTAACCTCTGGGTGAGTAGAGGGAACTCTCACCAAAATGTAACTGATCTATTATGGCCAAGCAACAAATGTTACAATTTGGTGGAGATAATTTCTGAATTATTCTGCGCTTTAGAAAAATGAACCAGAACAAGCCAACCAACTCATGTTAGGGCCGGGTGGCACACATGAACAACACAAATTTAGTCATGAATTTCGTAACTCCAGGAAATATCATTCTGACATTAAAAGTATCTGTTTTTTAGACAAGATGTCCAACTGCACTTGCTGCTAGTTGAGTTCTCCTAATGTGTGTTGTGCCTGGGATCTACAGAGAGCAAAAACTGTGCCAACAAACCCGTTCTTCCCTATGGCCTCTCACGGTTTATCCTCCATTCAGAACATGCTAAACGAGGCCAGGTTTAAATGACTTAATTATTTAAGTGATTTAACATTTTAAGAGCTTTGTATTGAGAAAGAGACAGAATTTGACAGTCAGAGGTGCAAATTACATGGTAACATTTTTTCTGCTTTACTGTGTTGAAGCTAATAACCTCTGGATGACCAGACGATGACAACTGTTTTAAATTTTATTTCATAGTACTGTTTCGGACACCAGCATTTCAAGACTGCACTATACTAACGTCAAACTTCTTGTGTCATGACAAACCTGTATCACACACCTGGTGTTTATATAGCCAGGCATATACTAACCGTGTAACGGGTTCAGTATTGAAAAATTAACCCATCTTTGAGTGAGTGTGCGGGGAGGGGAGATGGGTTTATGCTACAAGTACACCCACACTCAAATGACTGCCCTTTTTTTCTATAATCATTTCTAATATCCTGCGATTTATTTTTAGTAGACGGCAGGCACAGCAGATGTTTAGAAGTGTTATTGATTTTTTTTATATTCATAGAGTCAAATCAATCTATGTAGGAAATTATTAGAGCGCTGGTGAATAAAGACATAAACACATTAAATATCGGAAGTCAAATCGAGTCTTGAGCTCTAAATATTACATGTTTTGTATGCCGGATTATACAGGAGGCCACCACCATCACAAGCAAAAAGAGTGGGTCTAAGGAGCGTATCTTTTGTGTTCCTCACTGCTCACTCCTCCAGTAGAGTAGGCAGTGAATTGTGTGACACCAGGCAGTGACGTGACTGAAGATTCCCACACACAACATGCTCGCTGTTTAGCTCTTAACAGCTCAGCTTACTGAGTCCAGACAGAGGCCGCCATTAGTGGTTAGGTCTGCCCACTGGCCTGTGAAATTACTTAACTTTGCCCACAGAGATGAGTGTAGGTTGACTAAGGGCATATTACTAAGCTGATGTGGGCCATCCAGAGGACAGCAGATCATAGAAATATCATGAAAGAGTGGTAAACCAGATACACCAGCTACTCAGCTTCAGTGGAACTGAATTCCTCAAAGCAAACCTGCAGCTGGTAACAGTCAGACTTCTGTTGGCTCTAAGGTAAGCTAAACTTTATCTGGATTATTGTATTTGCTAAAAAAACATTTCACAAAAATTAATGTAACAGAACAATGTTCAGTTAACGAACTACTTTTACTTAGCTTCTCTACACTTGACTGTTGTCAGTTAGGTTGTTAAACCAGTCAGATTAAACAGGACTGTACTGCACTCACATCTGTGATTTAAGCATTATGCTAAAGATAAATTAAAGTACTAGCTTTAGTGTTTAGATTGGCATTAGTTCTGTCCTTAGTAGACATGAAGTTCTGCCTGCTTTAACATGCAATGACAATGATTTCTCTGATGTAATTGATGTAAACATTATTTCCAGAATCCATTTGTTTAATTTAAATACATTTATTTTGCCAATTCTCAAATGTGTATGTCTGCACTGAACACCTTTTAAGTTTTTGAACAATAAACTGTTTTCAGAGGTTCTTTGTGTGCTTCTCCATTTTCCTTTGTACTGCAGAACTTTCTATCCTTTTAGCAAAGGTTTACAGATGATACTAGGAAGCCTGAACTGTACGTTTGATGGACACAGTAACTAGGAGAGTGTGGGACTTTTGCTAACAGTCAAATAACAAACATGTTAGAATGACTAAAAGCAATAAAATAATTGGATGAGTATCACATTTCTTATCTAAACATCCTAATCTTCACTCAAAAACAAGTGGGTATGGAATCACTGACTTCAATCAGAATTTCACTGCACAATTCAGCAAAGCATGTCTGAATTCTTGTGCACATGAAAAGGAAGCAAACGTCATCTCATTCAGATGAACTTTGAAAATGACTAACTTATACGCGATCTGCAGATTCCATCACACAGGCGAACTGGTCATATGGAGTTTGGGTTTAGTGTCAATTAGAAGTCCAGAGTGATTCTTATATGTCCATAGCAGGCCAAAAAACCTGTCTCTTAGGTCCACCAGGCAATGTTCACATAACTATGTGAGCTCAAAAGAACTATACGCTCAAATACATTGGTAGAACTCCAACACGTGGATGTTCTTTGTGTTCACCCTGTTTATTTTCATTGAGGAAGTCTAAACCTCCAGGAATGCCTGATGTCACTTTGAGCAAAAGGCAGCTGTGGGAATGGAGGCCCTTCATACAGGCTTTTACAGAGTCTTCAAGCAAACCAGTAACCACAACCGCTAATGTACCTTTGTTGCACTGCCAAGAAGCATGAGCTCTCTGTATTCATCTAATGTGGAACAGGACATGCGCAGCTGAAGAAAACAAATTCAATTAGAATCAATAATTGATAAATATGTGACTTTTCTCTCACAGAACTAATCAGGAACATGTGACATTAGTGTGCATAAAAAGGCTTTACGCAGTGGAAATTACAATGATCTGAAAGAATGCTGATGTGCTGAGTGTAAGATACAGCAGCATTTCGTAATACACCGCAAATTATTGTAATAATCATGAATAAATTTAAATCCTGCTCTTAGGCCCGCTCTGGCTATTAAGACTAACTAAGAACACAGGTTGCATTTAAAAGAAAAAGAAAGAACATCTATTACGCCCCTGAAAGCATGTACAAAATACAGTCCTGCCTTGTTTCTACTCACAACAAAACAAAACCATTATGGAATAATCTGCCACTACGCTTCTGGTTTAAAACTGGCATTAGCAGTTAACAGTAACAGTGCATTCAAAACTGAAAAGAGAGGCTGTTTCATGCATGTTAGAGCCAGATGTGAAAACTCACAAGCAGCAAAAAATGAAGCAAGTTTAGAAACCAACCACCGTAGCAAGGTCCAGCAGAATCATTACTAAGCGATTTTAAAATGAAATGCTGTGGAGTTATTTAGTTCCACAACTATACTAATACTGATTACATCAAGGCAATACTGCACTGTTTTCTACATATTTAGATTTTCTGTTAAAAACCTGTTGCTCATCATAAGGTCATACAAACGGATACAAACTAAATGAAAGCTAACTGTCTTGGTTGCAAACAATGATAATTTACACATTATTAATATATATATCAACCTCATCAAACCTCAGAAAAATGAAACACTAATGCACATAACAAGGGAAACCTTCTTTAAGTTGATGTATCCAAACTTTTGATCATTACTATATTCAGAGGCATCAAATACTGCTGAAGCTAAGACATGGCAGATCAATATCACATCAACTACTTATTATATGTTAGGCACAAGTGTTTCCTGAACAAACAAACGTAAGTACAGCATAACCCCCCACCTAATCAGATCTCTCTTCATAAACGGCAGACCATGCAGACAGCACTTCCCTCCCATAAACAGCTGAAGCTTCAGAGAGACTCTGTGTGTCCTCATCAGAGTCAGTGAGTTCCACAACTGATGAAGCAGTCATGCATGCGCGCTAGGGTGGGATGGTTTAATGGTAA